CTGCACAAGCCCGAGAGCCGGCGCTTGGAGACGCGGACTGTGCAAGCGGCGCAGTCGAGGCATTGGACTTACCAGTCTGGAAGACACACTCTCCGGAGATGGACTTGCCCTCGGCACCGAAGCTGATACCGCGGTAAGCGGAACCGTCGGCAAGCTCGAGGACCATCTCGGTGCTGTCCTCTTGACCGAGAGGCGGGCTCGTGGCGGGGGGGTAGAGGGCGACCTGGCCGTTGGGGGCCAGGGCAGGCTGACCTGCTCCCAGCGAAGGGGTGGTCATGGTGGATATCTAGTTAGAGGGGGGAAAGAGAGGATAGGATGAAAGAAGGTGATGGACCTCGAACAGCTAGCGAGCTTGTTCTGTTCAGAGTGAGGCTATTTTTGGGAGGGGAAAGCGATCTCGAGAGACACCAGAGAGTCGCTGGGGTGGTGCGTGAGGGGGTTTATCTAGCGTCGTGAACGAGCCCAAGCACTGCTTCGACTGGTTTTTACGATGCAAGAAAGGGATTCGCTGCGGAGAGCGAAGAAGGGTGAGATGGTGGTGGACGATGAACACAATCAAGGAAGAAGACGGCGGAATGGGGTTGTCAGAAGGACGGTTTGGTTTTGGATTGGCAAGTCAGATCGAGTTCTTGGACCTCGTTCGACCTCCTTCCTGTCTTGCGTTGTGTTGATGCTCGCTAGAGAGGAAGGAGGAGGAGAAGAGGAGGAAGAAGGAGGAAGAAGGGAAGGAAGATGGTGGGAGCGCCGAGCGACGGACTAAGCTTTGCTCAAAAATTCGCTCGCTCGCTCGCCCTGCTTCTCTCTCGCGGGGGAAAAAAAGGCAGCATCGAGGCACATGGAGGAAGAAAAAAAATTGAACGTGGGTCCGTCCGCGCTCCGATGGGAGAGGGAGAATCCTCGGCAGGACAGCCGAAAAAAAAAAGTTTCGCGTCTCTGACTGGATCTCTCCGCTTTCAGCAGGCAGGCAGGCAGCGGCTGGCTGGTCTGGCTTCTGAGCCCTGCTATGAGTCGCCATCTTCGCGACACGCTCTTCGAAAAAGAAAGAAATGTCGCTCCCGATCCTGGGCCTCAATCGCTGCCTGCTGCACAAAGCGTGGAGAGCTGCGAGACAGAGAGGTGGAGAACTGCCGTCTCGCCCGCTCCGACTCGAATTTTGTGTGGAACGCGCCTTCTGACGTGAGACCGCGCTCTGCAACCACAGACCACCGAAAAAAAAAAAAAAAA